ATGTTAAAGCACTTTTATTCAAAGGTCCATCAGATTACTTGTTAATTATCGTTGACGTCATTTATCCATTTGAGGTCATTTGAACACTGTCAAGTATCTTGAAATACTGGATCTCTTACGAAATGAGTTAAATGTTTTATCCGAGGAAGAGCGAAATCGAATAATTCTGCAGCAAGATGGCGCTCCAGCCCATAATAGCAGAGTCACTACTGCTTACATTAGTAACCATCTTAATACCTGGATTGGTACAAACGGCACAATCATATGGCCTGCGAAATCACCAGATCTCACACCCCTTTAGATGTTTTTTGTGGGGATATGTTAAAAATCAAATTTACCTTAAATCCTATGCGAGTGTAAACGAGTTGAAGGCTGAGGTTCAGAATACGATTTGTAATACAATTCATCACAACACGTTATTAAAAATTTGATTGAATGAAAAGATTCAATTTGTGTATCCACGAAAATGGAGCGCATTTCGAGCAACTAATTAGTTAGATTACCATTTTTTTCGTTTTATTAAAATACGTTAAGATTTCATGGTTTTTTTTTTTCATTTAATTAACCAATTTTGTGAGAGAGATTTTATTCTTATACTTAACCCTATCGATCGATGCAATAAAAGTGCAGGTTGCATTTTTTTCAGATTAACGCGAATTCGATTCCCGCGTGTTGCTAGAAATTTTCGAAAATCTATGAATGCAGTTTTATTTCTTTTAAAAAATAAAGGAATGTTTCCTTTAAGTTAAAATTTCTATCTCCAGTATTTAGAGTACTTTCCCTCCAGGTGGCATTACAAATTTTCACCCGGTATAATGTAATTTTGAAATTTTCGTCCATTATAGCAAAGCTCAAGTTAACTGGTCGATTTGAAGTGAAACAGTTGACGACACCCATTGACGACACCCGTCAATTGTTTCGAATTCGGGCTGGCCAATCGGAGCGCAGTTGTCACAGTAATGATATGGCAGAATAGTTTTCAAACAAATTAAATGACATTTCGTCTCTATTTCTGATTATATACTCGATGCTCTACCCCAAGCCGTAATTATACTAATGAGGGAATTACAATTCATCGGTAAATTTATTTTAAAGCACAAATGCTGTTTTTATTCAAATAAAATTATTAACCATGAATCAGTTTAGTCGTGTTCTGTGAAATGTGAAGTTACCAGAAGGTGGATTCTTAGTTTACTTGTTTATATATTAATTTAGGTGAAATGTAAATTATTTGTTAGTCTTGTATTTGACTAGATTGTAATGTATGTACAATAATGTACTTTACTAGAGCTAAAAAAATGTGTGTCAATGGGTCTTCCGATACACGGTTTCCCCTGTGAAAGTCCAGAGAAATACTGCCACCTTATCTAATTCTGTCGTCAAGCAATAACGTGAGCATTACTGGGGGCCTACCATAACCTTTCCAAAAACAATTTTATTTCAATGTAAGCTTATTATAATATTATTCATATTCGTACCATGACGAACCTGTCAACCAAGTAATGTATTATTGCAAAAGAGATTGAAAGAACGAATGATTTCCCAATATTGTCTATTCTTTACTAAAAATACGAAAGAGATAACGCTAAGTGAACTATATAATGCCATCTCTTTCTTTTTTGATGTTCCTATTCGTCTTATCGTAGTGTAATATTTAGGTACTTCATGTTATTTACTTTCATAGAATTTTGACTGTTAAGAGAAGAAAAGTATGTAATAATAAAATCTATTAAAATTACGTTGTTTTCAATAATTATTTTATTTATTTTATTTTATTATATTTGGGGAGCTTACAGCTACTTTTACAATATAGGTTTAAGTATGATCAAACAGATGCCAATTAAAAGCTTCCACATTTGAACTTAAGAAAATAATCTTACAATAACACAAGCTTAAAATTACAATGATACATCTAATTATGACAACACAACAATCGCCTTATTAGTCATTTGATAAGAAGTTATCAATCATAATAGCTTTTACATTTATAACGCTATTACAGAAAAGGTCTATGCGACCGTCATCATTGAGCTGGTTAAATAATGTTAATGATCTTGGCAGGTAACTATTACCTCTAAAATTGGTACGACCAACCGGAACATGGAGCAAATTATGCTTTCGAAATGCTCTAACTGGAACTTTGAGTAAAATGTTACTAAGGAGCTCAGGACAGTCAATCTTACTCTGAGCGATGTTCAACAAAAAACAGGCATCGGCTATATTTCTTCGCAGGTGTAAAGGTAACAGATGAAGTTTTCTACAACGATATACATATTCCAATTGGGGTAATTTAAATTTGTAATTTAAAAATGTAGTAAATTTCTTCTGTAATTTTTCAATTTTATTAGAGTAAGTATCATAGCAAATTTGGGATGCATACTCAAGATGGCTACGAACAAAAGTGCAGTAAAGGATTTTCAGGGTTTTCATATTTTTAAACCATTCTGATGTACGAATGATGAATCCTAAAGCTTTGTAAGCTTTGTCATATATGTAAGAAATATGCTGGTCAAACAATAACTTACTGTCATGAATTACACCCAAATCAGATCCAAAGGCATTCCTAGTAAGATTACAATTTTTAATTTTATAAATATAATTGAAAATATTTCGCTTTCTAGTAAAATTTATATAATAACATTTCGATACATTTAAGTCAAGTTTGTTAGTTGTACAATATATATCGAGTCTTGCTAAATCTTCTTGTAAAAGAATCGCATCTGAGGTATTATTAACAACTTTAAAAACTTTCATGTCGTCAGCAAATAATAAGAACTTTGAATTTATAAAACATGATCCGATATCATTAATAAATATCACAAATAAAAGGGGTCCCAGTAACGAACCTTGGGGAACACCAGAAGGAATAGTTACCCATGAAGAAGCAAAGCCATTGAGTACTACAGACTAAGACCTACACAAAACATACGATGTAAACCATCTAAACAAATCACCATGTATACCGAGAGTTAATAATTTAGATAATAGAAGATTATGATCTATACGATCGAATGCCTTACTATAATCTGTGTACACAGCATCAATCTGGTTACCTTCGTCCATATTAAAAGTCAAAAACTCATTAAAAATTACTAAATTTGAGACTGTGGATCTACCTCGCAGAAAACCGTGTTGTTGCGGTATGAGACTTGACTTGATAGACTCATATAGCTTGTTAAACACCACACGTTCCAAGACCTTAGCAAGTATACATAATTTAGAGATAGGCCTATAGTTTTCTATTTTGGTTTTGGACCCCTTCTTGTGGATGGGTGTTATATATGCCGATTTCCATATAGTGGGCACAATGCCTTCATTAAGTGACCGTTTGAACAGAATAGTGACTGGTGTAGCAAGTTCTTGGGCACAATTTGTTAATAACGTAGCAGGTAAGGTATCAGGGCCTGCTGACTTATTACGATCCAGGCCTTTAAGAAGTGAGAAAACCTGCATATTAGTAATTTCCACTGAGGATATGTTAGCTGGTGCAAAAGATATATCACGGTTACGCGGTATTAACGAAGTTGAATTAGGATTTGGTTCCAAGAAAGTTGTACTAAAAAAAGTGGAGAATAGTTCACATATGCCTGTACCAGTATCGTTAGTTTGATTTAGGTAATTCATAGTTGCAGGATAAGAACTACTACCCCTCATATTCTTGACATAAGACCAGAATAATTTTGGATTATTGGTAATGGCAGATTCCATCGTAGAAATATAGTTTTTATAGCAATTATCCTCCACTTTCTTAACCCTATCACGTAAAAAATTAAAAGTACGTTCATCACTTTTGTTACCATAGGTCTTAAACTTTTTAAAAAATTTAAATTTTTCTTTTATGATTTTAATTAAAGCAGAGTTGTACCAAGGAGGGTACTTGCAATTCATAACCTGACGTTTGGGTATGAATTGGTCACGAAGTTGATTTATTATATCATAAAATACTTTAGTAGCATCTTCCACAGTGCCTTCGTTAAGAATTGCTGACCAGTCGGTTTTCGATAAATAGTAGCATATTTTATCATAGTCGCCACGCTGATAGGCATACGCTGTACGTTTTTCAATTTTTTGCGGGTCCAATTCAATAAACGACGGCTGAACAATCAAAGTTTTATGATAACTATCTTCCTTCACTAGTGGGTCCGGACATACAGTAACTGAGACATAATCGTTGCACAAAACCAGATCCAAAATACCATCATGCCTATTTTTGTGATCATTGAATTGTCTTAAATTACATTCATATAAAACATCAATAAAATCTGAAATGTGAGTATTTGTTACATTTGACGGCTGGAAGCCTGTCTCGGAGGGCAACCACAAGATATTACTCATATTAAAATCACCCACTACGAGAAACTTATCTAATTTATTGCTTTGCACAACACTCATGAGCCGATTTGAAAAGTTAGTTAATTGGACAAAGAAAGAGTTACCTTTATTTTGCTCGCATAAGTATAGTACACACAAATGAAGTTTAACAGTAATATTGCGCCGAGAATTACGAAGAGATATAGTTACCCATATATCCTCAGCACTGGATTGCCAACTAAGGTTATGAGTCCTCTACAGTTTTGATAATAAATGATGGGATTAGCCATTGTTTTCGTTTAAAATTAATATAGAAATAAATTTAAAAATTAAGGTGTAATAGCAAGAATAAATTATATTATAGCAATAAACTAGTTTAGTTCCATGTTCGAGTCGTAAACAAGAAATTAAAAATTTTAATAAACAAAGAAAGTATTGAACAAAAATATTGTGCAAAATTAAGGTAAGCAAATAAAAGATATAACTTCTTAACTCAATAGGAAGACAGTCGTTAGCTAATGACCATATACAAAAAATACGTTCGAGTTTAACAATAGCGTAAAAATATTGAACACAAAAGAATGGAATACAACGGCAAGCGGTCTTCAAACTTGTGAGATAATAATATGTTTTTAAAGGAAAATAAACAAGTAGTAACTTTATAAAGAAGTAAGTATTATTAATGTAAATTAGTGAATTTTGTGCAAATCTTTTTCGTTTTTTATCGCTATTACGTTTGACTGAGAGTTTTTCCTGGCAAAAATTTTTGAGTTCTTCACCCACACGAACTCGAACTCATTATCCCTTGCCAACTGCTTGGCCTTTGTAAGTAACACTTTGTTTTGGACTGTTAGGTGATCGTTGACATAAATTCGACTAGTGCCTTCTAGATTAATGTCAGCAGGGCAAAGGGATTTAAGGGAACGCGCAGCGGCGACAAAATCTTCCTTTAAATATCGATTTAAAAAAGAAACAACGATAGGTTTGATTCTATTCTCACGCGATGGGATCCTAGTGATAAAATTGATGTTGTGCTTTGTAATCGGGTGTTGAATTTTCGCACCAATCTTAGTGACAATTTCAAATAAGTTCTCTTTATCTTTGAGAGGGACTCCCCTAATTTCCACATTATTGAGCCGCAACCATTGATCGTTGTTGTTCAAGTCCTCTTCCAGTTTCGAAACATGGGCTTTAAGCTGATGTATCTCATCTTGAGCTTTTTCAACAGTTTTGAGCCTTTCATCCAAACTATTCAACTTAGAAGTGAATTGATCAACATTTGTACGGAGATTGTTGATGTCGGTTTTTATCACTTTAATATCGGCCATGACATCCATCAAGGGAGCCAAAGTCAACTTTACGTTATTGATTTCCTTCATAAGATCATCTAGAGTAATTGACTTAGGTGATCCGATATCTTGCTTCGTAGCGGATATATTGCCGATCTTGCAGTTCGGGCACCTCCAGGTTGCCTGTCTCTCAGCACCGAGTTTACGGTAACCCGCCTCAGTTATTCCTGAACATTGAAAATCAAAGTGATTTTTGCAATTACTGCAATGGATAGCGTCCATTGAATCTTCACTGCATCTAGCGCAACGAACCATCTTGATAATAACGAGTGTGACAAAATTGAAATAACACAGGAAAGTTTGGGAACCACAGATCGTCACTGAGTAGCAAACAAAGGGACTACGAGTGCAACAGAACGTGTGTTCTATCGGAGATCGGACCACAGACTGAACCGCATTTTCATGAAGAAAAATAAATAAAACAAGGTGAGCCTTGATAGTCACGTTGTGAATTCGGAACTGTAGTCTAGTGTCAACTGTTAGTTTCGCCAAGGAGCATATAGATGGCGCTGTTATAATTTTACGAAATAAACATCGTGTATTTTTATTTACCGAAAAATTATTTACTATGTGCTATTAAATAAAAAATAAACAAAATATTGCAGAGATATATGTAAATAAATAAGTTGAACTTAACTAATAAAACTGAAAATAATATTGTTTCCATTGCATCCGTGTAACTATTTTAAGATTGCTAAATTTGACATAAGAGCAATATTACTTTAATGTTAAAGTCGCGTCATAGTACGAACAAGTGAATGAATAGTCACAAAGCTGCCAATAAAACATCATAGTTTTAATATTATAATAAGCTTACTTTAAACGCGTCATGGTACGAAAAGTCAATGTAAGGTTAAAGTAATATTGTTTTAAGAGGTTGTGGTAGGCTCTCTGCATTCCGGTTTTAAGGGTGCTGGTGAAATTACAGGTACATGGGACTTTTCAACTTTTGTCTCAGGATGATGCGTCTTTGCGATTAAAACCTCTGAGTCGCACTGCAACTGTTGTGGACCATCCTGCGCACGACTTGTTCGCCCCATCACTTAGTATAATAAAAAAAACCTACGCAAACCGCGTTATTTATTTATATTCAATACAAATTAAATATGATAATGTCTCGATTTTCTTTTTGATCTTCATAATCTTTTTGGTTTTGATTTTTGAACACTCTGAAAAAATTCCTTTGATCCGGCCGGATTTGAACCGACATTTTCTAGCATACTGTGCCAGACCCTTTACCAACTAAGCCACGGAACGAACCAGCGGACCTCATGAATTTTTATATGTGTTTGCGTCGTATCTTTGTGTTTGGTTTTTCAACGACTTTTTAGCCGTAGCGCTATCTATGAGAAATCTACGATATTTCGTCACCCAGTTAGATACCTTTACAGTTACCAGACCCGGCTAGGATGTCGCTATTCATTGTATTTAAATTTTTATTGTTATTCAATTATTTTTATGTGAAATTACTCCACTAGTTTGTTATAATTATTAATCCAAAGATCGAACAATTAGAAAAAGCTTAATACTTTCCAAAGACGAAGAACAGCCATCTTAATGATTCAGCGAGGCAGAATATCGAGGGAGGGCATGAACATTTTTTGATGTATGTTTTATATAAAGGCATTATTCTGAATGGAGCATTCGTACCCTGCCCTCACTCAAATATGCTGAGCCGTCGGCATAAAACCGCGACGATGTTGGTAATAAAACCTTGTTTTTTTAATAAGATGCTGCGTGGAATATTACAGAGTGTATCGTTTGTACATAATGCTTTTTTTGACGTAGTTTACTGAGAAAACTCGGACCCACTTCGTATGTGACTTGTGCACTAAGTCCAAATCCGAGAAAATATTCATTCGCTTGTTCACCCAGAGATAAAATGATCCCTAGGACATTTCGGACCGCCATTTCTAGGATTCAGAACTAATGTGAATCGAACGTAAGTAAACGCTCTTAGTGAGGACATATCAGTAAAGCAATTTAATGATGCATGTGTTATGTATGTAGATACGGTCGGTGTTTTGTAGGAAGGGCGAAAACGCCATTTCGAGAACTTTTTCAATGGGAGCATGTCTCACCGCACTGACTATACTGCTGACGTCCGCTAACTAAAATATTTTTTGAAATATCATAAATAAAAATCTGATGCCACGACTAAAAAGTCGTTGAAAGACCAAGTACAAAGACACGACGCAAGCACATAGAGGAATTCGTGAGGTCCGTTGGTTCGTTCCGTGGCTTAGTTGGTATAGCGTCTGCCACGGTATGCAAGAAAACGTCGGTTCGAATCCGACCGGATCGAAGGAATTTTTTCTGAGTGTTTTTTCTGAGTGTTCGATCTTTGTGTTAATAATTATAACAAACTTATGACTATTGTTATTAAATACAGAGATAAAACATAAAAACAGATGAATCAATAGATAGTTAAATGAGATACACAATTATTTACTGTGATGGATTGGTTTAAAATTAGGATACACATAATATTTACTATATATATACGGATAGGTAAATTCATACAGAAGATTAGAAACGCAGTTAGAGCGGAGTAAAATGTGCAATGATGTTTAAATAGAGATTTTTTATTAAATTTAATTAAAAGGAATTGTTTATTAATTATACAAATTTAGCTTTATAATGTTACTAAGTACTAAGTTTGCGAAACAAGCGGTATTACAAATGTATCAATCGGGGGCAGGTTGAAAACCAGCGCTGAGCCACTTCTGCCTCTTAGTAAATGCTGAGACTGTCCCCCAGACACAAATCGTTTAATGTATATATTAATTTAATTTATTTTTGCATTTATAAGTAATCTTTTAACATTAATTTTGTTATGTAATTAATGTGTGTGGAAATAAATGGTTTCGCCGGCGTCGCCGACTACCCCATCACCTCACCAGAGCGTGGATGAAATGACGAAGCGTCGGCGCTACGGGGTTAGCTGTAAATGTTTTCAGGATGCTGTTAGGACTAGAACTACTAGTCTAGGGAGTAGTGACACAAAAAAGTAAAAACTAAAAACGGACAAATTTATTATGAAAAGTTATAACCCAGTTTTAGAATATTCAAATTGTTTAATGCATCGTTAGGTTGGGTTAGGTGAGAAATGCTCCCCCCGAAAGGAATTCCCACCTTGTCGTGGCGGAGGGCTCTAGTAGCCGTGTGGTCGATTTCATCCCACGGTAAAGCTAAGAGGAATCCACGAGGCCGCGACCGATGGTGGTAGGCTGGTAGGGCGTTGCGCGATGCGCGCTGGGAGGAGGGTCGCGAGGAGAGATACGTGCCGGTGTGTCGTTGCCACTCGTCCTATCCTCCGCGGCCGAACTTGGGAGGTTGGCCCGTGGTGGGCTATCCAAGGGACTCTCTTTGGAAAGTCCGCGCGGATGCGCGTCAAGTGTTGCGGCTGAGTCTGCCATCAGATCCTCCGCGGGGGCTGGGGGAGCAGCCACTGAACTTCATGGTTGAATGGACTCGGAGGAGCTCGTTGCCCAGTATAGAGGGGCCCGGGATGGAAGGCTCGTCTGGTGTTCGCGAGCCTCACATTCGGAGTCGGGAGACCGATGTGTCTCCATTCTCGGGGAGGGGCTGCGCAGGGCTACAGCGGCGAAGAGAAACACTCCATGGGTTTAGTGCAGTCGGGCTGCTCAGCCCCGTCCCACATAACCTCGGCTCTGCCCACGCGGGGCCGGGGTATCTGTAAGCAGATTCACCCGGATTAACAAAAAAAAAGAAAAAAAAGGTTACCAATGCTAACTAACTGCCTCCGGCTAGCCTAACGTTTATCATGCCAGACTGTCACGCAGAGGTCTCAGGGTCAATTCCCGGGCCGGGAGAAATATTTATATGGTTTACATTTATTTCTCTCGTGATTTTGGTGTCATTTATGGTTGTCTATGTGTATGTCCATGGCACCTGCGACACAGGGTTTGCCTAGTGCGGGGCTATGTTGAGTGTGTGCTTTATTATTGTGCGTATTAGCGTAAGTTCCGATAAGTCGAATACGTTAACCAATTTTAATTGTTTTTAAAAGAAAATTTTGTGCTTTAGGTTTTGCTGTTTAAAACGGATATTTTACTATTTGTCACTTAGAGGCTAATAGGCTTAAAGGCTTTTATTTAAATGGTAGCAGACTGACCATAATCTCAGCATAGAGTACTAAGAAAACCGACCTCAAAAGTACGTGGAATTACGTCTATTTGCTAAGTTTTATTGAAATCGGTTACCGGAAAGTGCGCGAAACCGGATTCATCCTCTAGTTTGCCACCCTTAGAGGTGGAATATTTTCTTTATATTTAAAAGAGACCACTACTGAGATATTTTCTATCCAACAAAAAAAGAATCATCAAAATCGGCTCACAAATTGCGAAGTTATTGCGTAACAAGCATTTAAAATAATCTCAGTACAGAGTATTAAAAAAACCGACCTCAAAAGTAAGTGGAATTACGTCTATTTGCTAAGTTTTATTGAAATATCCCCTAGTTCGCCACTATGCAGGACTTGACACTGGAGATAATAAAAATAGGTTCTCACTACTCAAAGTATATTGAGAGAAAAACGCCTTGAATTGGAGAAATAGCAAAATCAACCATTAAAGTAATTGCTCCTAAATTAAAGGTAGGCGCTATTTTAAAAACGATTCTTTATGCGTGAGCAGCCACCTTCAAGGTGGATGATTTTCTTCAAAATGAAATGGGACCACTATGGATGTACCCCCTTTCCAACAAAAAAAAGAATCATGAAAATCGGGTCACAAATACCGGAGTTATCGCGTAACATACATACAAAAATAAAGGAACATACAGTCGAATTGAGAACCTCCTCCTTTTTTGAAGTCGGTTAAAAAATACAGTCGAATTCAACCTCCTTGTTTTTTTGAACTTACAAGAGAAGAAGGTTAAAATTCAATTTTGAAACAGGATGTAAATATTTTGAACAGTCGTTTCGTTCGTCGGCACTTTCGCCCTTCCTACAAAACACCGATGGTATGTGAACATCGCACTGTTAATACAACACTGTATTAACTCAAAAAGTGTATTTTCTCAGAATCGACGAAAAAAGAATTACTCGTTTCCCGTGAAAGATAATTAAAATGTATGTATAGGTTATAGTTTATTACAAACAATTTCCTACTTGCCAAATATATTTAAAAATTAAAAATAGTTTCATATTTTTGAATAAGGACTATTTTGGCCAGAACAAGCTCACATAAAACGTGTCTCATTTTGAGTTAATCAGATATCTATTAGTTGTT